AACTATGTGGAATCTATGAGGCAAGATTGTTAAATCATCAACAAGTTGTCACTGGTACTTTGATTTCTTATTGCTTTGAGGGTTACTTTCTTTATTTTCTTTTCTTTTGCTCGAGGACTAGCAAAATCTCAAGTTTGGGGGTCTTTGATACATTGAATTTATAATTATCTTTTGATACGTCTAATTGAGTAGTATGTTGTGGCTTTATAGTATTTTTAGTACTTAATTTACGTAATTTTAGTTGGTTTTACAGATTAGCATCATTTGAAGTTTGTAGGTGAGTGTTTGAGTAATTTTTCGAGCTAAATTAAGATTAGAGAGCTTCGGCCTTGAAAGATGGCGCCTAGACCTTGAAATGGTCCATTTGCACTACAAAAACTCGAGAGAAGAGAGCCTAGGCCTTGTGACATGGAGCCATGGCACCAAAATACGAAGAAAAACAAGTTTCCGCCCAGTGCCGCGGGGCCCAAAACCAGGTCGCGATGCTACTTTGAAGCACTGCACAGGGAGTACTAATTGCAGGCCAGCGCCACGGCGCCCAAACAATAGGGTCACGGTGCTACTTTGAGTTTTTGCCAATTTGAGTGTCGTGGAGTTCCAAAAATTTACGACAATGCCATTACGATTCAAAACTTTATAAATACGATTTTTAGGATTATTTTTTGAATTTTTTTTTTATCTTTTTTGTAAAGAAAGAAGAAGAGAAGAAGGCTCTACGAAGGAGAAGATGATTCATTCAAAAACGGAGTTCAACTTCGAATTCGCCAAACAGTTTTATTCTTTCCTGAATTTTATTGTCATTATGTTTTCTCTTCCAATTATGTTCTAAATTTATAGACTATGCCTACAAGTGTAGCCAATATATGAATATTTAATTTCTATTATTTTCTTTCAATGAAGTTTATTCACTAAGAGTTTTCCATTCATGTATGTGTTTCTTTTATTGTTCTTAATGCTTTCAATAAATTGATCACTTGTTGAATTGAAAATCTAAATTGAAATGCCATAAGGATATTTTTAGGAATAGTTTCTAATAAGAAGAAACCGTGAGGTGCGTAGGACATTGAGAGATAGTAATACTGTTGGCCCAAAGTTAAATATTCTCATGTTTTGATGATAACAAACACAATGTATTATGTTACTAATGATTCTATTATGAGTTGTGTATTTAGTATAATTGATATTATACATCAACTCAAGAAGCATATTGTGGAATACATGTGAATACACTCAAGGTTGAGAAATGCAAATTGAAGAAGGAATTCAAGGCTTGAAGTGTTGAAAATACCAAAGATCAAGAGCAAGCAAACAAAATCAAGCAAGACAAGTACTAATAGGTTTTTAATCCTTAGTCCTGTATTTGATTTTGACTTCATACTATCATGATTAATTCTTGTTTAGGCTCATGTACACACTCACATTATTCTTTTAAAAATGAGACTAAACTAAGTGCATAATGACATTTGGCCTAAAAGTACAATTTTGTGAAGGTTTAAGGCGAATTAAGTGTCAACCGGTCGACCTATGTCGTCTGGTGATAGAGAAGGCTAAAAGCACCGGTCGATCGGTGCTGCCTCAACCGGTTAACCGCTCCGGCCGACCGGTTCTATTCAACAGCCAGTCAATAAGACCGTTGAACAGCAAGATTTCAAATTTGTCTCAACCGGTCAACTGTGGATGTAGGCAAATTTATTTGTCGAACCACTATAAATCTCGTTTGCATCTCTTTTAACCCTATCTCTCTAATTTCCGTACTTTAAATTCGATAGTTGACATTGATTGATTTAACTCTTGGTGATAAGCTTATTAATCTCGTTATATGATATTAGATTGATTCATCTTGTGCATATCAAGTGTTTGTGCTATTGCATTAACTTACATAATTTTTTGTACACCAAATGTTTGATAAACACACTGTGTTAAATTAATTGTCTATATTTGTTTTTAATCTTGAATAATTGTATAAACTCTCAAAAAATATTTAAAACCCAATTCACCCCCCTCTTGGGTAGCCTTACTAGGGACAACAAATACGACTTGCGAGAGCAATCTTGTAAAAACTAAAGATTTTAATGAATTTCTAGGATGACGGGATTCACATCCAGCGATAGTGAATTTACATGTTAGAAATATTTTAATGCCATCCTCATAAGGACTATTAGATAAATTAAGGTTTTCCGTTCTACTGCATGAATGGGAGGAAATGTTAACAAATAATTAGAATTAAATAGGAATTGTTTTGGTGAAACTTGTATGGTCTAGTTTTTTTTTTTTTTTTTTTTTTTTTTTTTTTTTACATTGAATTCTTTTCATAATTACTTTGCGTATAATTTGTGTTATTTTATTTTATTTTATTTTCAGTTTTGCTCTATCTCAGAGATTTTACTTGTCTAGATAAAATTAAAAATATATATTTCAGTAATTGTTAAGCTAGTCTTGGTGGGAACGATATATTATTCACTCATTATCTTGTGTGATTTGTGCGCTTGTGAAATATCACATCAATTCGCATCGTTGATATTGAGGGATATCAAATGAGTATATTTTACATAATGAGATTATGTATGACTGGAACAAGACACAATACAAATGAGTATATTTTACTTTGCGTATAATTTATGATATTAGATTCGTGTCTTTTAACTTACTTCGTACGGATTTCGATATAGTTAAATCATATCCCATGTATCTTGGAGACATGAAAAAATAGGTAACTGTGAATGTTAATGTACAAATTGGAATCTATTCTTTCTTGAGAATGAAGCAGATAAATAATTCTCTTAAAGGTTAATTCGATACTTGGATTAGTAGAAGCTCCAATTCATGAATTTATTTTATGAATCACTATCTATTAGATAACTAATGGTACTCAAATATAAAGATGTAATTAAAGAGGTTAACGGATTTCATCACTGATATTGTGGTGTTTGTGATTCTGTTGAAGGTGAGTGGATGGGTGGTTGAGTGTTGGTTCAGAGAGGTGGTCATCAAAGTGTTTGAGAGTTGATTGTGTAAGGTCATGATAGAATGGATTGCAATGGTGGTGTGCATGATGATGGTGGTGGTTGGTTTGTTCGTACTGTGAAGAGGATGGAGATGGTGGGTCATGGTTCAGTTGATGGAGTTGGTAATGGTACTAGTCGCGATGGTGGTCTTGATGGTGGTGGTGATAGTATTGGTCATGGTGGTAGGGATGGTGGTGGTGGTGGCTCAGTGGAGGTGGAGAATAGTCACGGTGGTGATGGTATTGGGGATAGTGGTGGTGAAGTGGTGGTGATCAGAGTCGTTGGTGGGCACTCCACCGTCGAGATCCAGAACTCCTGTCAAAACGTTTCCACTCGCCGATCAGGATGCATAACCTCATGGAAAAAACTGAAAGCTCTGATACCAATTGATGATTCAGCAAATGGGCCTAACCCAAACGGAAGACGGGACATGCAAACCCAAATCTACCTAAAACAACCGCCATAAGGAGAAAATCCTTAATTTAGAGAGAAAATACAATTCTAGTATTCAATTCTGAAATATTCAAAAATCTACTTAATACAATAACTAAGTGACTATTTATAGCTCACATAAAAAACGAAAACAAAATAATGACTAAGATAAACGACATACTAATCAAAACTAAGCTAAGTTAATAAGCTAAAATAAACAACATATGGAAATATTAAACACGACTACTTATGCCTAAATCTCTCTACATCAACATTCCAATCCTTCGATATTACATTTTGCTCTTTAGTGTTACAACCATAACAATCTTTTTTTAATTGATTTGGTAAACAAATTTCCTACATTGTTCCTTCACCTTCCGACTACAATTTTAAATTTGCACCTACAAATTATATTATACTCTTATAGGTTGAAATTTCTTACCTCACTTTTACAAATATATTAATTTTGTAACATGCTCCGTACTTATTGCCGTGTCGGAAACACCTAAGAGTTTAATGTTTACCGAGTAATAAGAAATTCATTTATACAACCATTTAAGAATTTTTAAATTTATTTTAAAAAGGAATATGTGTAAAGATAATAATTGATAGAAAAAAAAAATAAGTAGAGACACATTTGAAAAAAATTATTTTAACCAACTAAAAATAAAATAAGAACACATACGAAAAATTACTCTCATATTATTAAAGTGATAAACAATATATTTTTAAAAACACACAATAAAATTAAAGTGTAAAAAAATTCACAAAAAATAAAGAAAAAAAAGAAAAAAAGAGATAAGTGCAGGTGCTGTCACGTAAAAAAGAGCTACGTAAAAATCTCGTAGAAAAGAGCTACGTGAAGATCTCATAGAAAAGAACTTTGCCTCTTTTATTTAAAAACACAATAAAATTAAAATATAAAAAAAATCACAAAAAAAAAAAAAAAAAAAAAAAAAAAGAAAAAAAGAAAAAAAAAAAAAGTAGAGACGCCGTATTGAACAAAAGAGCTTTGACTCTTTTATTTGAAAACACACAATAAAATTAAAATGTAAAAAAATTTACAAAAAAATAAAAATAAAAACTAAATAGAAGGACTGCGCTCTATAGAAAAGAGCCACGTGACAATACAAAGAAGCTTTGCTCTTTTGTGTTGTTAGGTATTACAAAAGCCCTCTATGGCCCGTTAAAACCGACGTGCTACCAAAAATCCGTTGAATGACATTCCAGTTACATGTTGCACGGAATTGCAGCAATGACCCTATTTAAGTTTATATATTACCTTTTTTTCAGAGAAAAAATAACTAAACTGTGAATTTTCGACTACAAGCATATATTGTAGCTATTTAGAAAAAATTTTGAGGTATCAGTCAATGGGTACATGTCATGGCACAGCAGAAGTTCGGAACATACTTTGTAAGATTCTATAGTATTTCTAAAAACACAAGATTACGAGGACATTTGGTTTATGTATTCAGAATTATAATTCAAAACTATTCTCGTTTTACGTGTATTTTTTGTGAGAAAAAACACTGTAAAGAATCATGAATCATGTTTCAAAATTAGGGACGAATATAAGAAACAAACGTCCTCATCATTTCTGTAACAAGCAACTAGCACAAACGAGGTTTTTCTCATTATCGGCTTCTTTCCAAACAGGGATTACACATTCCAACCTTCGTATTTTCTCTTCTTTTCTTTTCTTCTTTTTTTCTTTTTTAAGGATTTCAGGGTTATGGGATGGGCAGTTCAGTGGATGCGTTCGCCGGTTCGACAGCAGCACAGCTATGGCCTCTAATATAGAAACAGGAATCAACTTTGTCATTAGCGGAGTAAATCAACGACTACGCCGGCCTGGTATGGTATAGTCATCTTGCAGAAAGAGAGAGCATGATAAACCAAGTATAAAGCATAAAAACAAAGAACACTGGTCGGCTCTTTCTTGTCAGCTTTAAACTGATGCTGTCACCAAAACTTTCCACATACATGATCCAAAGAAAACACAACTCATAAACAATTCTGCTCCAGCCCTTTCTTGTCAGCAAAGGCATAAAGAATCCGCACCGCACATTATAGTTAAAACTTTTTTTCTGCACAAAATGTTTCATGGATATGGATACCTATGAATTAAGACTCGTGAGATGGCTCCTCAGTGGATTCTTCTGAATCTGAGCCATCATCGACCAGCTTCTCGAGCAAATCCACATCCCCTGCCTCGGAGAGCGTGTGGAGTCGGAGTTGGTCTGCGTCCTCGCTGAGCATTGAAGAAAACAAGGAAATCATGAGCATGGCACACAAAGCACCGATCTCAAATTAAGTTAACTTCAAAGAAAGAATTGCAAATTGGTAAGTTATACGCGTAGGGCTTTAGCATGATTATTGTCTTCCATAATTCACAATGGTTAATGAATTAAAGAAACTCCAAAGATAGATAGAGGCATACTCTGTGACCCCAAATATTTCCTTGATACTTAAGGAGCTATCTCTTGAACAGAATTCCGGAAGCTGCCAAAAACATAGCGTATAAGTTCAACAAGAAAATAATGGCAATCCATAGCAGAATGGATATTTGAAATGCAACAATAGATGACATGCAGATTCATACGATCTTTTACCCAAACTTGTATGAACATGAAGAATATCAATTCAGAATAAATAGTTTACAATGATCAGCAATGCACATGTAAAACAATGTAACACAGTAACACTACAAAAATTCGGAACATTTGATGACAAGATAACTAAACTGGTAAAGCGTCCCGTAGTTGGACCAAACACAAATTAAACCACCACACTGCAATAATGTTCAAGTGGCCACCTTAAATAGCTATTCCCCTAACCCTTGTTGTTCTTGTTGACCATTTCGAGGAAAAATCTATCTTTGGCAAAAAATAACAAAAGAAAACTTGTTCTGACATATAAATGGTATTAGAGAGACAAAAAATATATCATGAGGCAGTTTTCAACTTGTGTTAGAAATCAGTATATCAAAACATGGGAGAACTGCATTTATGTAAGTGAAGGGGAAAGAATAAATAAATAAATAAATAAATAAATAAATAAAAAAAGCAGTTCGGTGAAAGTCGTCTCTCAACTGCTCAGTGACATACCTCAGAAAGATAGAAGACTTTTCCAAAAAGGATCTGCACAGCTAGTTTTCTCTTGAAACCCTTTTCGGTATAACCGGATATATCCATGACGACCGGACCTGAAGATCACACAAGCTGTCAGATATCATTTTTACGGTGCAAAACATATTTGAGTTTGAACTCTCGTTTTTTCTAAGTTATTTTGGAAGAAAAGTGAGCTGGATTTTATTTACTCACTAGGGAACTGGAGCACCAATGGAAAAACATAAGCCAGAAGAACAGCCCCAACCAACCACCATTATAATAGGAAGTAGAAACAGAAGAAACAACAGCAAACAAATGAAAAACAAAGAACGATGGTAGTAAGGAGAAAACGGGAGCAAAGAAGGAAAAGAAAAGAAAGTGTCAATATCCATTATCAGCAGCCCCATTCATTTTTATTTCTTCCAAGTGTTGGAAATTCTAAATCATGCTCAAGTTATGAAATAATTGTAGGCATAATAAGACGAGAAAAATGCTATCATTCATAATCGCGATCAACGCTATGGGAAACTATAAACTCCAGTAAAGAACATGATGAAAACAGTGTAGAGCCTAAATTGGTTGTTTGGTTGGAAGGCAAACAGCCCTAACAGTAAGCTAATGTAGCATGAAATTAGTTACCTTTATCTCGTACAATCCGTCTAGAGATTTCATTTAAAACCTCAGCAATCTGGGAGTCATCCAATCCAGAAGCTTTCCCGAGATGAATTAAGCCAGCTACCAAATCGGGGTTGAATGGCTTCTCATTCAAAGCATATCGTATATACTTGCGCAAAATCTCATCCACGGCGAAATCTGTCTGGATACAAATTAGCAGCAGTTATCAGACCACCAGTAGAAGTGTGCATAAGCACATCCACGTGTTAAAAAAAAAAACAAGAAGCCCGAGGCAATAGATTCACATGTCTGGAAGTTAAGACTATCAATCTAAGAACAGAAAGAAATTAAAAGCTCAGATCTATTATCCCTTCACAAAAACATAGATAGCCTATAGTTGGAAATGTCAAATACTATAATTCGATAAAACTAAAAGTGCATCACCACATATATTCCTCGAAAAATCCATTAAGCCAATTAATGATATAAAAAAAATTTAATGGGACCTAAAAAGAAATGGATACAGAAGCATGTATTTTCGTTTAAAATCAGGTCAGGGAACAAAAGCAGTGATTGAGATCATGACATGATATCAAAATGGGTAGCAAAATGAGTTACTATGTCTGAGAAAGAAAAAAAAAAATTAACCAAATCATAATTTATAATAAACATGCATAATTGGGGTGAGATTCCCTCACCTTTTGTGCAAGAGTCTTGAGTGCATCCGGGGTTACTTCATCTCTTCCTTTCTGAAACAATTCATCTATTGATTTGCATAGCATGGCATTTTTATTGATCTGCACAGAGCCAAACATAACAAAACTTACAAAACAAAGACTAGCAAAGACACATGCAAGCACAGGGAAAAACTACGCATTAATAATCATTGACCTTTATAAACCAACATTACTGTATCTAGTTTTCCTTTTTCCCTGTATAAAAGTACCCATTGTTAATGAACCTAGTTTAACTCTTCCTATATTCTCTTCACTCAGAAAATAAATTCCACAAAAACATCAATAAACCATTATGTATTTGTGATATTTCCACATCGAGTTTTCTTAATTACCCATCTTTATAACAAAAAACACAAGAAACCCAAATCTTAATAACATCAAAACAAACAAATGAGCAAAAAATTTGTTCATTATCTTCCTCCATCATCTTCACCATATTCACTTAGAAAATAAATCCCACATAAAATATCAACAAGCATTATGCTTTTCTAATATTTTCTACACAAGTTCTCTTAATTAACCATCTCAATAACCACAAATCGCAGCAACATCAAAACAAACAAAAGAACAACAAATCAATACCAATCTCTTGCGCTTCGCTCTCGGTGAAGTGAACTTCTTGACGGTCCTGACAAAGGCAATGACGAAAGTAATCCCGGCATAGGCAAGAGGAAGAGCGAGAATCCATGGAAGAGAAGTGGCCCCAACTCTGGGCCCAGGAATGGCCTGCGTGACGGAGCCCGTGAACTCCACCAAGTCCAAGGCCTTCTCCTGAATCCACGGAAGCTCCTCTTCGACCTCGACTTCCTCTACCTCTTCATCTTTGGTCTTGTCGGTTTTGGTCTTGTCGTCGCTTTTTGCGGCAGCTAAGCGGAGGACTGTCGGAGATCGGAGTGTACGAGAAGGGGAGAAGAAGAAGGAAGAAGGAATGTTTGTGGGGTTGGGCCGGCGAGAAGGGAGGAGCTGAGAAGCGAAGGAACAGGAACAGTGAGTGAAGGAAGATAACGCCATTTTTGTTTTATTGAGAGCGAAAGCGATGGCAAAGAGAAAATAAAAGATACTGCTTCGTAGGTTACATTAGAGTTGAAGAAAGACTTGGGATATGTTTGGTTTGCCACGGTGGGATTAACAAAGGCAAGGAGAGGGATTCCGCGCGCCCCTGTATATAGGTAAATTCTCTAATTCGGTACATATATTTTTTTTTAAAATTTATATATTTTAAAAAAAATATATATATATATATATAAATATTTAGATAAATTATAAGCGTCTCTCCATATTATATATATTTTAAGAAAAAATATACATGTACCAGAGATGAAATATACATATTTTAAGAAAAGATATACATATACCAGAAAAGAAATATATATGTTTTTAAAAAAAATATACATGTGTCACTCTAATCTATATTTTGAAAAGTAATAGAAAAATAGATGAGATTTAATTCATTCAGATATTGAACTTTATAGCACAAGGAATCAAAACTCTGAAATGGGTCGCTCAACAGAAGTTCATCTCTAACCTCACCAAGAGAACTCTAGCCTAGCTTGCAAAACATTCTCACAAGTTCTAGAGAGAAAATATGAGACTGACAGTAAGACGACAGAAAACTAAATATCCAAAACTTCCGAAAACCTTAGGCCAACCTCTCTATTTATAGTGTTTAGAGGTTGCCTGTCAAATAAGAAAATAAATAGTAAAACTAGAAAATTATAAAACAAAACAAAACAAAATAAAATAACACATAAATTAGGAGAAATCATATATTTAATTTGAGGAAGAAATCTGTTAATTTCGTCTGATTTTTTAGGAATGAATTAGGAGAAATCATATATTTGATTTGTCGCTTCAATCCTGTCAACCCCTCGCAAACACAACAGAGACGTCCAAGGATTTGGGGAGGAGACCAAATGACGGGGAAATCATTGCCAAAAGATTTGAATCTTTGATGCCAAAACGGCTGAAATATCCTCACCGGCGACGAACTTGACTTCGCCCTCACCACGACCTCGCCTGAGACTCGTGGGACTCGTCTCTCCTTGTCACCGCTGTCATCGACAGATCTGACGAGGATTTTGATGGAGGAATTACTCAAGCTCTAAGACTTCTAGTCATTGGAAAAGGTGGTTGTAGCGGCGCAAGCGTTGGGGGAGGACATCCATGGGAGAAAGGGCGAGATCGCTGGCGCGGTCCGAGGACATGGCTTCCGTCGAGGAGAAAGGTACATTTAATAGTACATAGATTGTCTAGAACAGTTAATTGTACAAAGTTTGATATACAACACACTTATAATGCCTTTTTTGCATCAAACCTCCATGAGAAGCAAACAAATTTATCTCAAAGAATGACTCACTAAACTCGAGGATTTCAAATAAAGCAAGGTATAAACCATCTTTGACATGTTGATCGCTAGCAGTCAGTTGACTCTTATCTCCGTGCAAGCTATCTGTCAAGATCAAGAAAGTTGATTATTCCAACTACCAAACGTTAAGAAAAAAGACACAGAAACATTAAGAACAAGGCTTAGCAATTCCTCTGATGCAAGTAATACAAACTAAAATTCATCAATTCTTCTAACCAAAAGCATGAGTCTGAAGTATATCTGTAACTTACAGAAATTTATATGCTCTTTCGTCATGCCTTGTGAAGCCAAAACATGAACTCAAACTAACACTGCACTTGAATGATAATGAGACTTTGCTTCACTGGTCCATTTAGTTTCAATACAAAAACTGAAATTGCAGTTTGCACTTGCATACGTCCTTCCGCCTAATCCTATTTCTCGGCATCAACATTCCAAATTAAACACTCTCATTTCAAATTAACACTCCAAATACACCTCTTAATTCAGTCATCTACCAACATTTTTACCAATCACCAACTTCAGCTCTTCGATGAACAAGCAAAATTATACGTTACAAACTTATACAAAGAAAAAAACACAGAAATAATATAAAACCTTTTTCTTTTGGCCCCTAACAAAACCATAATGAATCGAAATTACCCAGTAAACCCAATGTACAGGGCTTCACATGTACTTTATGGAGCACAAACTGAATGGAAACAACCACAATACCGACGGTCCTACAACCTTTCTCCAAAACTACACCAAAAAATGGTCATTATTTTAACACAGGTTTTTTAAAGTATCAAAGGGAATGCCTTGACTTGTCCAAAACTCCAAATTTCACTTTCAATTTTTATTTCCTTCTTTTTCCGGTGGGAACCCTTGATTTTACTTTATCCTCGATCAATATATAAACTAAAAATCTTAAATGATGGCAACGAGACAAATAATCTGTCAAGTCCAATTTTATTGAGTCACTTAGTATGAAATACTCAATAAATTTTAAGCCACACTCTCATAGAACTTGTAATTGAGCAATTAAGCCATTAAAATGACATTTTTCTAGGTTAAGAATCTCTGCTAAACAAGATTAACTACATCCTTTCAGGAAAAATAACTAATTCTCTCTTTAACAACCTAATATATTCCATTAACAACAAGATTCAAGAGATTAGAAACTTCTAGAAGCAAAAAGAACAAAACTTACTCAAGACGTACGCGACTTCCAAATAGGTACTGCTTTAAGCCAATCTCTCGATTGGAAAACATCGGATTCCTTCATCGCCATCAACATACCAAATTGACAACAAGACACGAGCCGTGTTCAGATACACAGGGCGTAGAGCTTTAGCCCCTTGTCATTCATTCCCGTCGTAATATGCAAAACTCACAATCACGATTCTTCAGTTCCACACAAAATACCACAAATCCAAACTTTTTTTTTTGTTGGAAAAAGGAAAAATCTGTCGAATTTAAAGTGATTATAGTGGAGAAATAGAAACTTCTTTAGATCGGTGGCTCTAACGCTCACCGACGACGATGGCAAGGAGAGGCTTTTCGACATACGACTTGCGAGCGGCAATCGGACTGCGGAAGCATCGTCAGAGTCCCGAGTTCTGGGCCTCGGCGAAACTCGAATGATATGATATGTTAATTTCACCGAGTTATTAATTTTAATTTTATTATAATTAAAAATTATGGTTCGTTTCGCTGATTCGAGTTTAGAATTTGAATTTTATTACAGTAAAAAACTCTCACAAACAGTCACATTTAATTTTTTTATTACAGTAAAAAACTCTCACATAAAATCACATCTCAACTCAAATCAATAAAACGAACGAGACCATAATAATTTAAATAAGTGAATTCAACGAAACGAACAAAACCATAATATTTAAATTTTCTATTATAATAAAAAAATTTCAGATAAAATTACATATTAATTTATATAAAAAATTTAAATTTAAATAAGTGAATTCAATGAGTCCTTAATCATTTAGGTAAATGGTCTTACGCGCAAAGAAATTGTTGAAAATAACTCTTATTGACACGCTGGCATTAATTGAATTTGATTTCGTAATGCTAACACGTGGAACACTATTTAGGCCCCGTTCACTTCGCTGATTCGAGTTTAGAATTCGAGTTTTTCTACAGTAAAAAGCTCTCACAAACAATCACATCTAACTTTTTTACTACAGTAAAAAGCTCTCACATAAAGTCACATCTCAACTCGAATTCTAAACTCGAATCAACGAAGTGAACGGGGCCTAAGGGGCTTGAGTAAAAATAGAAAGACAGTGGCAGAAAAGGAAAGAAAAGATTAACAAAGCTTCTTTAAAAAGCTAGTTAAGAGCTTTAGTATATATAAATATCGTTCAGGTTTAAATTTTTAATTTTTAATTTTTATAGTTAAAATTTTTTAAAAAATATTTTTTATTACAGTTAAAAATTTTAAAAAAAATATCACATTTTAATTTAAATTAAAAACTCAAATTCACGAAGCTAATAAAGTCATAAAAAAGTATAAAACTCGTCTCCAACAAGTTTTCATTTAGATGCCACAGAAAAATCTCCTTATGCTTATTGCATTTAACAAGTTTTCAACAAGTTTGGTCGTTAGAACCTTATGCTTATTGCATTTAGATGCCACAGAAAAATCTCCTTCAGGAGAACTACCTTCTGATTATTCCATTGAGATTACAAAATAAAATACGGTTGGAGCAGTTTTCTAACAAATATGAACTCCAACCTATGCAAAAAACTACAGTTTATTCATCAAAATAATACGGTGGTTTCTGCTTCCTGTGTTAGAATTATAAGAAAGAGAAAAAAACAAGGAAGAGAAATCAAGTGTGGATGACTAACAAGGAAGAAAAAAAACAATGTGTTTTTTTTTCCACCTAGAGTTTTGATTTGGGACTTCGAGGTTCTTTGGACCATTCGGGTGGGTAGATTTTGTACTCTTGTGTAGGTTGTTCCTCTTTCTTGACTTCGTCGTCCTCTAAAATGTCCTTCGAGAAGGCATCTGGATTAGCTTTGATACAGTTCTGCAGAGCCACAAATGGATGCACACAGTCCGAGCCCTGCAACAACAACAACAACAACAAGCCTTAATCCCAACAGTCCGAGCCCTGCAAAGGAGAAAAATGTTTACAAACAAAACTTGTGAGATTGCAAGCCAATTATAAATAAATTGTTGATTGATGGGGTTTCATCCAACTTAAACTCAAAGGCATGAATAGAAAAAGGGGATGATCGGTATCATCCCGTCCTTCATCCCTCGTTTATAGCATAAATCGATAGGCCGATCAATAAAACGGAAAGGACCTCCAATCACACTCAAAGGATGGGTTCAATTTCAGTCCCACCATACCACAACTTGTGACGACAGTCGACATATAATATGCGAAGACATGACATATAACTAACCATAAGTAAGATAAGTATCCAAAAGGCGTGCCCAATTGCTCTACAAAGTACAAAGTGGCAGTTATGTAGATCTGTGAATACCTTTTCTTCGGCAGTACTCTTGAGAAAACAAAGGAATGCCTCTGAAAACTGAACCCCACAAGAGCCGCTTCGCAAATGAGCTATGCAAGGGCATTCCAAAGCTTTCTGAGCCTTGGCTTCAAGAGACTGAAAAATGTAAAGTTCGATTTATTTTAAATTAATCTTTCAGATTATATTCTTTGATAAAACAAACATGAAATCAAGCATGATCCATGCCTAACTCTTCAAGATAAGTTTGTGTCTTTGAAATGGACTAACCTCCTCGCCATCATTGCCATATGCTGCAGCTTCTGTTAATGAACAAAAATAGAGTTGTCAAACACACCACCAACTTTCTTTTTTCATCCGGCAATTAAGAATATAAAGCATTTGTTTTTTCTCATTAAATGAAGAATTCAGATACGCGTAAAAAACATTTATCTACAGAGGTAGTAATGGACTGCCAAACTACACAGAAAGATTTACATATATCCATAGCAACCTCATGATTTCTGCTTCAACATAAGATTTTGTTTTCCTCTAGGAGATTATGTTCGCAACATTTACAAATGGGCAGGGCTCAAAGTCAAATCTTGATTTTCAGGAATTCCAATCCCAAAATTGTCCAAGAATGGTGAGGCTTGTTGGGACTGGGATGCAATTGCCACTAAAATCATGATCCAAAATATCCACAGAGAAAGGGCTCAGCTGTTATTCTCGTGACTTTTATATTTGGACTTTATTGTATCTGACTCACACATGCCGTTAATTTCCCTTCTTTTTCTTTTTTTCCCCCTCATTTCTAATCTTCTATGGTCATTATTCAAAGGGAATAAGTGGAAATGCAAAATAAGTGGTCGCTATAATGCATGGACGTTTCATCGAATGATCAATCTTTGGCGATCTTCTTCTACCTATAAGACTTTCCCTTAAGAGTACTCAACCGCTTCACATATGAAATAAATGAAAGTGAAACAACTAACAGGGTATAGGTTTACTAGTTTCAAAAATTATTGAATGAAATAGAAGAAATCTCAATAGTTCATCAAATTTTTTTTTTTTTTTTTTTTTAAAGACCACTATGGCTAGTTTGACATTGCTTTTGCTTAGTTAGTGTTTGAAACTATATTTTCAAAAGAGCTTAATGAAACAAAACTATATTAATGGGATGTTTGTTCCAAGGGTTCGTCCCTAGTTTTGAATCATGGTTCTTCATTCTCTACAGTATTTTTCTTTCACAACAATTTTGAATTTCAAAAATCAAAATCATGATCACGGTTCTCCCATAAATCTTCTAATAATAAAAAACATATTACATTATATGATAATATGTGGGTTTAAAAGCACTTTGGTCTCCTATCCTTGTAAGCCGGTCTTCAAGGGCGAGTTCGTAACACTATAAATAATGTAACTTAAATAATCTTATTTAAGCACTAATATGTTTTAAATCTTATTAGAACAGCTTTTTTTTTTTTTTTTTTTTTTTTGTAGTTTAAGTGGAAGCTTCTTAAAAAAATTATCCAAATGCTTCAAAGGAATCAAGAAGCGGAAAGCAGCTTCTAAAAAGTAATGCCAAACAAGCCCAATTAGCTTATTATTCAAGTTAAATGAAAATTTTGATTATCAATACAACTATTTCAAATCCCAAAATCCACAAAGGCATTTTTACAAATACCTGAAGATCATAACGTGTTGGACGGGGACATATAATAAGAGAAGAACAAAACGAAGCAACTTTATGAACTAAATTCATTAGTTTCATGACAAACTGAAAATACCAAACAACAAACAAACAAACAAACAAATGAGAACGATAGAAGGATTTGAATATGAAAGAAACGAAAGAAGTGTACCGGCAATAAGAGATTCCATGGAAGAAGAAGAAGAAGAAGAAGAAGATGTTGGTTTTGCAGAAGAAGATGACAAAATCCGATCACCGCCTGGAACGTGTTCATTCGATGCTTCTGATGCGACGTCGCTTTGAACTTGACCCATCGCCTTGAGTTCGACTCTTGAGCTCTTTCGGAGAATCAGTAGTATCAGCGCCCAGAGAGAGAGGAGTAGACTGTAAAGTAATTGGTCAACAAGTCAACCAACAGAGAGATTTGGGCTAAAAGTGCTTGGGCCTAGAGCCGTCAAATGGACTGGGCTGTTTGGCCCATTAGTAAAGGGAGCACGACGCCACACGTTGACCTAGTCGGGAGCATACGTGTCTTCGTTTCACTAATTCGAGTTTTTAGAGTATGTTTAGTAGGAAAAAAAAGTAAAAAGAAGGAAGAAGGTGGAGAGATTTTAGGAGAAAAAATGAAAATGTAGGTTGTTTGGTAGGAGAGAAAAGAGAAAGGAAGAGAAAATAGAGTGAAAAATAATACATGTAAGCCCTACTATTTTTTTTCTTTCTACAAGTGGGCAGAAAATGGGATGGAAAATAAGGACAACTCATTAAAATGAGCAAAGTTACTAAACTACCCTTTTCTCCATCAACATCCAAGCAAAAAATTTAAGGATATAAAAGTAATTTACGAGTAAGATTTTTTCTTTCCTCCCAATTTAACTTCTAATACCAAACAAGTGAATGTAAGCTCATTTTCTTTCCATCTTATCATACCAAACAACATAAAAGAAAATCAATTTCTTTTCCATCATTATTATTTTTCATCACTTCCATATTTACTTTTTATCTTATTTTCTTTCCTTCCTACCAAACATAGCATTAATTCTAATTTTTTTACAGTTAAAAATTCTCATAAAAAATTACATTTAATTTTTTTTATTATAATAAAAAATTTTCACATAAAATTATATTTTAACTTAAATTAAAAACTTAAATTTACGAATGAACTAGATTTTGAATGATAGGAGATGTGTCAGAATTAAACGTTGGAAAAATGTGTTGCTCTGAAGCCGCAGCTCTGTGGAACTGTATGGCACAACTACAAACGTTGAGCACATTTGTAAAGCACGGTCCAACACGAGAAATAGAATGATATGACCTGACTCATAAGCATGGCATGAGACGCTGGTACACTATACAGTATAAATAGATCTCGTTCATTTTACTGATTTAAGTTTTTAATTTTAAATTTTTACAGTAAAAAGCTCTCAAAAAATATCTCATTTAACTTTTTCTACTACAGTGAAAAACTCTAAGAAAATATCACATCTCAATTTGAATTAAAAACTCAAATCTACAAAGTGAACGAGGCTTAGTACATATTTATATACACTAGCGTACTTTATAGGTGTGATTCATTTAAAATAATAATTACTTAAATAGTTAAAAAGGAAAAAATAAGAAAGAATAAACTAAATAGAGACAAAAGTGAGGAAAAAGATGTGCAGCAAAAGACAGATAAAAAAATATTAAAAAAAATTAAGAACAAATTGGTGTAAAATGTTTCGCAACTGAATTTTAAATTTATGAGTATTATTGGCAGAATGTGTTTATATAGAGGCACGTGAGAATAAATTTATTTAGCAAAACAATTAAAAAACTAATATTTTAAATAACTTTAAGAAAAATATTTAAATGAGATATATTTTATAAAATATATAAAAATCAGAGGTTAAAAGATAATAAAAAAATAAAGGAGAAAAGAAAGGGAAAAGAAAAAGAAAAACTACAAAAAAAGCTAAAAAGAAAAGAAAAGAAAAAAAAGTTAAAAAGTTTTTTTTTTTTTTTTAAAAGGTAGTGGGGGCAACGAAAACCCCCTCCAAAAAAATTATATTCTCACTTAGAGATGGGGAATAAATTTTCATTCAATTTTTTTTTTCATTAAAATTTATTTTCATTCAATATTAGATACATGAGAATTGGTTACTTATATTTGAGCAAAATACAAAATTGATCTCACTAATTGGCTAACATATAAATTATTATTCTCAGCTATCCATAATATTATATCTCAAACTTATCGAGATATGGACTATATAAATTGATCTCACTCATTGGCAAATTAAAAGATACAATAAGGGTGAGTTCACTAATTAATAATTAAAAGAATAAGAAATAACTTTCAGCAAAAAGTAAATTAAATTTCATACGATTAAATTCTAGAATTTCATTATTGTGTTTACTAATCTGTTGGGGAATAAAATTACATAAAGTGTTAAATTCTTATTGTTATTTATTTTACTAAAAAATTAGAAGAATAGGAATAAAATAAGTGTAGTTACAAAGTGCCTTTATGTGAAGTAACTGAATTAAAATAAGGGTACAATATTAAATAGGTTTAGTTAGTTCTTTTTATTTTAGGATGTAACACTCGATTAAATTAATTGAGATTAATTAATTTAATCCAATTGCTAATGTTAATTAATTTAAAAATTAGCATTTTAATTTCAATTATAATTATTTCATTATAATTTTTTGAGATTTGAAAATTATTTACCAAAATTATAATTTAACCCCTCAACTTTTGAATATTTGTAATTTTTCTCCAAATATTTAAAAATATTTCAAAAAGACCCATGTTATTAGTGTTAATTAATTTAAAAATTAGCATTTTAATTTCAATTATAATTATTTCATTATAAATATTTTGAGATTTGAAAATTATTTACCAAAATTATAATTTAACCCCTCAATTTTTGAATATTTGTAATTTTTCTCCAAGTATTTAAAAACATTTTAAAAAGACCCATGTTCGATTTTCTGCTTATTTTACTTGTCATGAAGTGTGAAGATTTGGAAAAAGACCATTTTGGATTTAAGATTTCATTATTTAGACCTTATTCTAACAAAGTCACACAAGGGAGCGTTTTTTTGGGCTCGTTTGGAACTCGTTTCAAAATAATTTTATTTTTCATATGAATATGAAAATAAAAATGTTTTTAATCTTAGATAGAAATCATTTTTGAAAATGCGTTTGGTAGTTTTATCAAGAGATTATTTTCAGTGTAAAAAACCCCATTAATATATTTTTTTCTCTCTTTGCTCGAGAGAGGAGAAAATAAAAACAAAAAATGAAAAACGACTAAAAGTCATTTTTTATTTCTCTCTCATTTTACACTAAATTAAAAAATCGTTTTCATTTCTGTTTTTTATCTTTATTGCGCCAAACGCCATTTTAAAAACGTTTTCATTTTTTCTTATTCAAAAACCGTAAAAAATAAAAATGGGATCAATTTCAAACACAGCCTTTAATTTTAGGAGAAAGAGGAAAATATGCCAAGACTTGAAATGAATTAAAATTAATAGGCCAATAGTTTACATAAGTTAATAAATAGGCAAAATTACTGTTTTCGTCTATAACTTGTCTTGCAATGACTGAGAAAATTTCAGACCTTAAATAATACAATTCATGTATTTTTAAGGCAAGGATTTTCTTAGAAAATATTATGTTATATTGTGAATGGAGGATTTATGGAATTAATATATGTATTCCTAAATTCTATAGCAAATTTCATGTTAAGTTCATGTTTCGATCAAGTAAATTCGATCGATAAATTCTCGCCGTATTTTAAGGCAGAATAATTTTCAGTACAAGTATAGTTTGAGAATCTTAATTTCAAGAATCTCCAAGCACAGCACGATGTTAGCGGCGTATAAAAAAAATGCACTGACATTTTAAAAGAAGAAAAAAAAATCTTTAATTGCCAGACAGTTAGGTTAAAGTCGCAAGATAAATACCTATAGTAGATGGGTACAATATGAGCTCGGGAGTTGACACTGTCAGAAACATCATTCTTGGGATATAATACAGAAAATTAAAATTTAGAATTTGTTCAGTCTAAAATTAATTTCAAGACTTGAAACAGGTTGAAATATTACGCGAGTAAGAATATAAAACAATATTGAATTATTCAGAAATTAATATTGGACTGTAAGTAGTAGATTAACTTACGTGAGCTAAACTAATTACCTCTAATCAGTACAAATTTAATCTGTTTAGAAGAAATAATTGAGGATAAGATCAGGCACGTAATCTTACCTTAATCAGATACTTTATATAGTGAAATTTTATGGTTCTTGCACTTTCTTTCTCTTATTCCCGCTCATTCTCTCTCTCCTCTCACGTTCTCTCTCACACAAACCATCAATGGCCAAATACTCAAGTTAAGATCCCG